CTACAGGGCTTTACTGCAAAAAGATCTTGAAGTTGTTAATGCTGGCGGAGAACGTAAGCGCCTTCTGAACATAGCAATGCAGCTTCGTAAATGCTGCAATCATCCATATCTTTTTCAAGGTGCTGAGCCTGGGCCTCCTTATACAACTGGAGACCATCTTATCACGAATGCTGGTAAGCTTAACATTTTGTGAGCCATTGACCTCATGGATGCATATTGGTTGGTCGATGGTCATTTAACTCATCCTTACTTTAAATCTCCATTGTAGGCAAAATGGTTCTTTTGGATAAGTTGCTTCCAAAGTTAAAAGAACGTGATTCTAGGGTCTTAATATTTTCACAGGTTTGTTCCATTCTGTAAAATCATTTATTGAGTATTGGTATGAATTCCTGTGAATGCTTGTAAGCATTTATGTTGCTGTGCATGCCCAGAGATATTATATCTCATCTGTGTCCTTTGGTTTTTGGTTTTAATATCAGATGACAAGGCTGCTAGATATTCTTGAAGATTATTTAATGTTTCGGGGCTACCTGTATTGTCGGATTGATGGAAATACTGGTGGAGAAGATCGTGATGCTTCCATTGATGCCTTTAATAAGCCTGGAAGTGAGAAATTTGTTTTTTTGCTATCAACCAGAGCTGGAGGACTTGGTATTAATCTTGCTACTGCAGATATTGTCATTCTTTACGATAGTGATTGGTAAGCATCTGTAGCTTTTTCATTATAGTGGTAGTGATTATTGTTCTTCTGTCTGCATGCCTATACCTCTACTGTTTAATAATGCATGTGACATGTTATAGGAACCCTCAAGTTGATTTGCAAGCACAAGACCGTGCTCACAGGATTGGTCAAAAGAAAGAAGTTCAAGTGTTCCGGTTCTGCACTGAGGTATGAACGTGTCCTGATATGATACATTTCCAGCTATGCAATGCTTGCACCATGTAGTTCTTTATCAGAAAATAATTTTAATTTTCGAACAGTATACTATTGAGGAGAAAGTGATTGAGAGGGCTTATAAAAAGCTTGCGCTTGATGCTTTGGTGATTCAACAAGGGCGATTAGCAGAGCAAAAAAGTGAGCAACACGATTTCTTCAAGATATCCCTCCTTTAAAATGCATATATGAAACACAAATTTATTCCCTAACATTTTATTCTTGGATGCAGCTGTTAATAAAGACGAGTTACTTCAAATGGTGAGGTTTGGTGCTGAAATGGTTTTCAGCTCCAAGGACAGTACAATTACTGATGAGGACATCGATAGAATCATTGCTAAAGGAGAAGAGGCAACTGCTGAGCTTGATGCAAAGATGAAGAAATTTACTGAAGATGCTATAAAATTTAAGATGGATGATAGTATGTTTACCAATGTTGAAAAGTTCTTGGCATTTAGTTTTATCCATTTGATTATATTTTTGTTCTTGCAATTGACAATGTCAAAAAGGGAGATTCAAAATTTTAATTCCGATACTGTTTCTGCAGCTGCTGAATTGTATGACTTTGATGATGAGAAGGTAGAGATGTTTTTGTATTTTTATCGATTATTATAGTATATTTGATTTATGTTACCATAGTCTTATGGCCCATATTTGAAATTTATTGGCCATCTTATATGTGCATCTTTTTACTTGATGAAGGATGAGAAGCTCGACTTCAAGAAAATTGTTAGCGACAACTGGATTGAGCCACCAAAAAGAGAGCGGAAGCGCAAGTAAGGGGTTTTTACTTGTCTGCCTCTTTTAGTTGTGTATTAATTTCATTTAGTTTCTGAAGCATGAATTTTTTTTCTTTCACTGGTAGTTACTCGGAGTCGGAATATTTTAAGCAAACAATGCGCCAAGGTGGTCCAGCAAAACCAAAAGAGCCTCGAATTCCACGCATGCCTCAATTGTAAGCACCTCTTGAAGGCTGCTTGCTGATTGTTATCTGTGTTGTGTTCTCTTATCAATGTCTCTTATCAATGTTTGATAATGTTATCTGTTCTTGCCTTTATCAGACATGATTTCCAATTTTTTAACACACAGAGGCTCAGTGAGCTGTATGAAAAGGAAGTACGGTACCTCATGGTGTGTATAAGTGAACTCTCATTTTCCTTTCTATTTTAGCTGCAACAATTTATGGTTCGGGAATTATTGCTTTGCAAACTATTTATTTATCTTTTTGATGAAAAATCCTCAGCAAACACATCAAAAGAATCAGGTGAAAGACACAATAGAGGTGGATGAACCGGAAGGTACTTATTGTTTTCCATATGAATTGACACCATGTGCTGATCTGCTTTCTGCTATTCCATTTGCTAACTGGGTATTGAATGTTTAGAAGTTGGGGATCCATTGACTGCTGAAGAGGTGGAAGAAAAGGAACGTCTGTTGGAAGAGGTAAGTCTGTTGAATATATGCTGCAGATGAGGTTCTCATCTAGGTTTTCTTTATTGAGTTTTATTATTGGTGAATTTCAGGGTTTCTCTTCTTGGAGTAGAAGAGATTTCAATACCTTCATTAGGGCCTGTGAGAAGTATGGCCGAAATGACATAAAAAGCATTGCGGCCGAGATGGAGGGGAAAACAGAGGAGGAAGTTGAAAGATATGCAAAGGCTTTTAAAGAAAGATACAAGGAATTAAATGGTTTGTGATGTCCAACCATTTTGCTGTTGCGTTAGGTAAAGAATGTAGCCTTTAAATCTAACTTGTTGACTCAATTGATGCTTCCAGATTATGATAGAATCATCAAGAACATTGAAAGAGGAGAGGCTAGGATTTCCCGGAAAGATGAGATCATGAAAGCTATTGGGAAGAAGTTGGATCGTTACAAGAATCCATGGCTGGAACTGAAGATCCAGTATGGTCAGAACAAGGGGAAGTTGTACAATGAAGAATGTGATCGTTTCATGGTACAATTTGAAAATATCTTTATAAAAAATTTATTTTATACAAACTGCCAATATTTGATGTCCATTACCTGGTTATTCATGTCTATTGCTCAATGCAGATATGCATGGTTCACAAGCTTGGATATGGGAACTGGGATGAGTTGAAGGCAGCATTTCGCACGTCACCCTTGTTTCGTTTTGATTGGTTTGTGAAGTCTCGCACAACACAGGAACTTGCTAGGAGGTGTGATACATTAATAAGATTGGTGGAGAAAGAGAACCAAGAATATGACGAGAGGGAGAGACAAGCACGCAAAGAGAAGAAGCTTGCTAAGGTTTGATCTGTGTTCCCTACCCAACCTATTGAAAGAACCAAATGCACACATTTGTTCTTTTTTGTTATGTTTGTGGTCTAGTTATTGCCAAATTGGTGAATGCATTATCATATTATTATGTATCATGTTTTGTTTCAGAGCATGACACCGTCAAAGCGTGCCATGGGTAGGCAGCCGACTGAGAGCCCGACTTCCGGAAAGAAGAGAAAGCAGTTAACTATGGATGATTATGTCTCGGTATGCTTCATTTCTAGTTGCAGAGTAATTTATGTTGGTTGATGGCTAGAATAACTGAAGCATGTTATGTT